ACCGACCTTGAGCAACGTCGTAATTGAGTCGAAGGGAAGCCCCTTCCCTTTCCCTTCCCCGACGGGGGGGGGAGGGGGGGTCCCGGGGGGGGTCCCGGGGGAGTCCCGGGTCAGATACGACGCCCCCCCCCCGTACCGACCTTGAGCAACGTCGTAATTGAGTCGAAGGGAAGCCCCTTCCCTTTCCCTTCCCCGACGGGGGGGGGAGGGGGGGTCCCGGGGGGGGTCCCGGGGGAGTCCCGGGGAAGTCCCGGGTCAGATACGACACCTCCCTCCCCCACCTTCTCGTCCTTCTCCCCGTTCCCCACCATCTCACAGCCCGTGCCTCTTGCTGCGCATTGCGAACAGGGTCGGCGGCACCGGCCGTAAGGCCTTCGCAATACACCAGGACCAACGGTGCACGCCAGAGGCGCATCCCGTCATCCGCCACTGTACGTTGTGCACGTCGAGGCGTAAACGAATGCCGAAGAATGCCATAGTCTGGCTGGTCGGGTGCCTGCAATCTTCCAGAGGGCGTCCCCTTTCCTGGTCGCACTTCGTCGCGCGCCTCCTCCCAGACGCCATAATCCATCGCAAAATAAGGCAAGTTCGCGCTTCCGAGGCCCACATGCCTCCAAGACGGCTCAAGATCGCTCCAAGACGGGCCACGTTAGCCTCAAATCGGCCCCGTATGGCTTCAAGACGGCCCACGAGACCGTCGAGGCGTCCCAAGGGGTCCCCGAGAGCCTTCCGAGGAGGACCTCGAGAGACAAACTCATAGGTGCTCCTTCTTTGTTTCTGTGTGTGTGGCGGGCTCTCGTCTTTTCGAGCCTCCGACGTCCCAAGGCGACCCGAGAGGACAGCAGGACTGCTCCGCGAGGCCCCTGCAGAGGGTCCCAAGGCGGCCCAAGCGGGACCCTACGACGCTCCGAGGGGCGCCCCCGAGTGCCCGAGAGGGCCCCTAAGACGGCCCAAGAAGGGCCGCCGAGGGTGCACACGAACCGACAACTCGAGCCTCCCGCCCCAAGAAGGCTCAGGATGCCCCCACAGGGCCAACAGAGGCCCCCTATGAGGATCACTGGAGGGCTCCGAGGTGCTAGCGCCATTGGTGCTCCTCGGCTGCTTCCCAACCCTCCTGTGTTGGTTTCTCGCCTTGGATAGAGGATAGAGCACTGCCGTCTCCACTCCTGTCATCCTCCTTCTCGCGGCTCCCTGTCGCCCCCCACGAACCCGCAGGAGAAGCGTGTGAAGAAAAAAACGTCTTACGAAGCCACTTCGAGGGCTCCTGAGAGGCCCAAAAGTGCGCAAGCGTCACCACTTCCGTGGGCTTCCGAGAGGCCCAGAAGAGTGGGGGAGTACGCAGGCCCAGCCGAGACCTGGCGGTTCCCTGGTGTGCTGCAAAGTGCGCAGCTGTCGCCACGTTCGTGGGCTTCTGGATGGCACGGTGGAGCAGGGGACCACGCAGACCCAGCCTGGGGGGGCTGCAAACAGCGCAACGGTTGCCACTTCCGTGAGCTCCTGGGAGGCCCAGCGGGGCGGGGGAGTAGACACGCAGACACTGCCGAGACCTCGCGGCTCCCGGGGGAGGCGGCGGCGTGCGCCATGGTCGCCACGCTCGTCGCAGTTGCCGCCACGTTCGTGAGATCCTCGGGGGCACGCCGGAGTGTGGGGGAGTACGCAGAAGGAGCCGAGGCCTCGCGCGTCCCCCTGGGGGGCTGCGGCGTGCGCAACTGCCGCCACGCTCGTGGGCTCCCGGGAGGCGCCGGCGGCGGCTCCCTGCGCACGGGGGGGGGTGCTCCTGCGCAGTGCGGGTCCCTCCACATGGGCGTTCGCACTGAGCGGTCCTCTGGGTATGGCCGCTACATGTTGAGAACAGGCTTGGGCACGTCGCAAGTGAACGCAATGTTCGTTGGGCTCTCGCCGTTTCGAGCTTCCGGCGCTCCCCGGCTGCCCCAAGGGGCCTTCAAAACTCCCCCCGAGGCGGCCCCAGAGGCCACCAAGAGAGCTTCCAGACGGCCCCAGAGGGCTCCAGGACGGCCCAAGAGGCACCCATGATTACCCAAGAGGGCCCCAAGGCGGGCCTACGAAGGGCCCCAAAGTGGGAACACGAATCCAGAATTCAAGCCTTCTGCTGCAAGAGAACTCCAGCAGGCCCCCGTGCCTTCTCGAAAAGTTACCACCCGGATTGCTGCGCTGGCACAGTGGCGGACTTGCCGGAGGCAGCTGGATACAAATGCGTCCAATGAGAAAGACATCTTAAAACGCAGCCGCCCTCAACTCGTGCAACTGCCGCACAACTGTGCAGGGCGTGAGCTCGCGGGAGTATGAACGGCAGCCCCAGCTTGAAAAGGACACGCCCCACATCCGGATGACTGTCCCACAACAGTCAGCCGAGTGCGCGCGGCGCTTGGGCGACAACCGCAGTCTGAAGGCATGCCGCCTTCCAACCGCGCAGCAGCCGCAAACTCGTAAGATGAGTGGGGGGGGCGCTCGATCGGTTGCAACCTTCTTCAAATCAGGC